ATGGTATGGGGTTTGGGGTAATGGGAAAGAGAAGGTTGGAATGACTAATTAAAATAACATGTTACAAGAGTGCTAAGATAGTTTTTATTGCTTTCCTCACCCCTCCTTAATTCAGATAATTGACAGCCCGAGGAACTGTTCATATCTTCAAAAGCCACCTACTCCATCTACAGAAAAGGGATTCTGGGTCACATGCCAGTCCCTGTGCTCACCCGTCAATGGTCAGCTTGGACATTTCCCTTCCCAGAGGAACTGCAAGGGTGAGGAGCTTCAGGTTGTCAGCAGTGCCAGGAGCTGAGGGAGTGGGGCCACGTCCTGTGGAACCCCAGGACTGCGTAGGCTAAACCCATTTCTGCAGTTCCCATCCCTTCTGTGCCTCTCGTTCCTCTGAATGCTTGGGAAAGCCACGTGGCCACTCTTTGTTTCTAAAGCTGACATGGTTTAAAAGTCATCGCTGGAAAGCTGAGCCCCGGCAACCCCCTCTCCACTTGAAAGAGGAAAGCCCTACAGTCACTGCAGCCCTCACCAGAGGGTGAGCAGCTCCTGCCCCACAGGGTCCTCATGCAGGAGGTGAGAGCACAGTGAAAAGATCGCTGCTGTGAAGACGCTTTAACTAGAGGAGAACAGAGAAAATACGGGTGCTGACATCAGCATCCAGGCATTTCACATAAAGACCAGCTATCCCAAGACAAGCTTTTACAGCACCGTGAGGCCAGAGCTGTACACCTCCTATGCCTTCCTGTCCATTTTCCTGAGCGATCCCAGGAGGAGTGGGAACATGCTGAGAAATGGGTGCAGCTGCAGAACCAACAAGGTGGCTGAATCTTCCTTCAGGATAGCAAGAAACCGGACCCTGAGGCCTGAGAGTGTGGGCTAAGGCATGGAGTGTGTGGTACACTTGGAAAAAAGCGTGTCAGTCACTGCTGGAACTGCACCAACCTGCCCCCGACACAAACAAGCCCACTGTGTCACTTCCTTGAGACTCATTACCCAAATGAGCAGGTGAAATCTATTAAAGAAATAGGTGACCACCTAACCAACTTGTGCAAGATGGGGGCCCTTGAACCCGGCACTGCAGAGCATCCCTTGGACAAGCACCCCTAGGAGGCAGTGATGACAGCTAAGCCTTACGCTGGCTTCTCCATAACCACGGGGTGACTTCCCTGGTCCCCAAAGCAGTGCATGCATGCGTGTTGGGCTCACTTTTATCTGGTCTCTAAGTTGTTACCCAAACATCGACTTAAGTTCTTTCATTTGTATCACTCTTTCAAAGAAAGTAATTTAGGACCCTCCCCCAAGTGAAATAAAATAAAACCGTGAGAGCTACCTGCCGTCAAAGAAGAAGAATTTCCCGCGTCCGTTCTTTTCTCCGTGAACGAAGTTCCCCTCAAATCTGTCTGTGGAGGAGTAGGTGACTGTGCAGAACCCGTGCGGCAATCCATCGTCATCCAGGTGCCCTGGAGGAAGGGAATCACAAGGCCAACCTTACCATCTGCACGTGCCCCCACGAATGCATCGGAGCACAGAAGCGGCCAGCAAGTCCCCTGAGCAGCCCAAGGGTCCCTTCCCTGTTCCAGGGGAGAGAGCGCAAAGGTTCCTCACCTCACCTGCACCAGCAGTATCAACCTGACTGTTCTGTACACTTTATGAACGGCGGGTCTACAATGGAGGGACTTGGACACATTCAGATGTGAACCGAAAATAAGCCTGTCTTTTAGCGGGGACTGAGAGTTCTTATCAGTCATAGCATCTGCAGTGCCTGTTCCGTTTGCCAAGTACTTCCCCACCTGGTACTTCTCAAATTAGGAATTAAGGCCCCCAAACTGATGCTTAACCAAAATGTAGTTGAGATAACACCATTGTATAGTCTATTGCCAGGTACATTGTCCTTGCAATGAGTCTTCTAATTCTAGAACTAGTATGCAATATGGTTTTATATGTTATACTAGAGGCCTGGTGCATGAATTCGTGCACAGGTGGAGTCCAGCCAGCCCAGGCCGAGGGGCCTGGCTGGCAGAGGGGAGGGGCCGTGGGCAGTTGGCCAGCCGGCCCCACCCCTGGTCAAACTCCAGGTTGAACTCCTAGTCGAGAGGAAAATTTGCATATTAGCCTTTTATTACATAGGATAGTATGAAGTGGAGGGCTGCTAGCCAGGGAACTTCTGAAAACCCACTGTGGTTCATTACATTCAAACAAGGGACGTGGCTATGCCTCTAAAACTGCCCAGATATTTATATACCTCACTGTGCTAACATGGGGACTGAGTCCTTCTAAGCTTGAACTTAAGCTTAACTTTGAATTTACTGCTTCATTTTACAAAATCTTCCAGCTTTGAATGTTTAGTAATAACCTTGTCATATCTCCTCTATAACTGTGTTCAGAGGGCTTATGTTTAAACGCAGTTAGAAGCAGCCACATGACCATTTAAGCAGTGATTTTGAACATCCCCAGCAGTTCTGATACTGTGATCTTTAAAATGCTGGTTCTGCCTGGGTCACAGACTGGCATATTCTAACATTTATGTTTGTAGTCAATGTTTAGGATTTTATGATTATTTACATATTTTACAGAACCCGGGAAACCCCTCACTGGTGTCTCCCCAATCATTCTGGTGAGCTAATTTTGCAGAGGTGAGTGAAAACGAAGGCAGTAGTTAACCTAATGGCTTTTTTGTGAGTGAATGACCTGGGTCATGGATGAAGAGATACAAAAGCATTCAAAACTGTGGGCAGTGCATGGACATTAAACACTCAAATGTGGCTTCCAGATGGCTCACAGACATAAAAGAAAGCACAAACCATATCACCACAAGGAACACTTTAGTCTCCTAAAATGATTTCTTCTAAAGCGATAAAAGAACATCATCCCTTGGAAGAGATGGTAAGTAAACACTCTTATAAAAAACAAAAAGCTCTTTATTTTTATTGTATTCTTATGTAAGCATAAAGTAACAACGGCCAAATATACTATCTTATTTCTACATCTGACTCTGTATAGAATGAGCTACTGAAAATATATTGCAATAAAGTGTGGCTACTTAAATAAATCACAATTGATGTAGTTCCTTTCTACTTAACACAGGTTTTTGTTTTTGTTTTTTTTTTTCCTACCAAGGGCCAGGAAATTAATGGTCAGGAGGGAAATAAGCCATAATTGCTTTCTTCTTGTTCAAAACTCAACTGTATGTGACATAATTCAATGACATCTGAGCCATGTAAAACAATTTGGAAAATTATCTTCTAAATATCTACTGATGACATTTCTCTCATCAAAATAAATTAAATCTACTTTAAAATTTTTCATTAAAAAACAGTGTACAGCTGAACACTTTCTTTTATGAAATAACGTTGGGATCAAATTCAATTTAGCTATTCACATTCCTATGAATTCAGCAGTTTATTTTTGATGTAGGTATGAATATCAGAACACTCATTTTAGCCTTGTATTGAAGTATTTACTAATTTGTTAGAATGCTTTCCCCATAGACACAGTCCACATATTTCAGACTTTCAAAAGTTAATCTTTGATAACATTTGTTATTCTACTTTAGATCAAGAGAAATATTATGATAACCATGAACACTGAGGGGGAAAAAACCCCCAATGAAAATTCATTTCCACCTTCCCTCGGTCACAATAGTCCTGTCCTATTTCTGAATAACACACTGCAGATGCACCGTCAGCAGTGGAATGTAGATAGTAGAGAAAATGGAAAGTGTCATGTAACACACTAAAAGCACTTGAGGGTCCGTACTGATCCCAATGGGGATGAAAGCAAAAAGATCAGCCTCGCTCCACGAGGGCTACTTGTTTCAATGCCTCTTTCGACAGGTCAGTGAAGAGGGGTCCCGTCACCTTCCTAGTCTCTAGGGAGAGAGGAGCTGCTGAATGACGGCCCTTTCTCCGGTGACATCAGAAGGAGGTGCTTGGACACCTGACACTTCCCTACCATTCTAAAGGGTTAGGTTGCTTGTTGTGATCAAGTCCTGCAACTCCCTCTGTCAGTCCATCGCAGGACCCCTTGTTGGCCTGCTTGCTGTTTTCTTCCAAAAGGAGGAGGTGTGATCAATGAACGGGATCAATGAACAGGAGCTAGATATTAAGGGTTGTCAACATTCAAGACTTCCTCCCTGGATGTTTAATAGCCAGAAATTGTTGTCCTTGCCGTAGAACTTAATCTATAAAACAGCAATAGCAGCAAAGAAACTTTCCAAAGAAAGGAAGGGACTGGGTTGCTGCGCCTCGCCTCTCCTTTCAACGTCAGTGCTAGAGGAGCCTCTGGAAAGAGTCTTGTTCGGATGCCATCGGGACAATAGAGCAGGTCATAGTTGTCTTGTTGGTGATAATCAGTTTAATGGAGAGGAAACTGATACACAAAGAAGGAAAAAGTTTGTGTTCCTTACTTTGCATTTGGCATGGGGTTATGTGCTTTCCTGTTACCTAAACTGAACCTCACGACAATTTCCCAAGTGCCCATTGTAGACGAGGAAGCCAGTGCTGTGTGGCTTGCCCAGAAGCACATTAACTGCTCTGAATGTGCTCCTGAATGCTGAGTGCTGCTCTCCCAAGTCTTCCCATTCCCTTTCTCTCTGGATAAGGGAAACTAGCAGAACCCCCCTGCTTCCCTGCAGATGGTGGAAGCGGGTACCTCTAAACAGGTAGGTATGCCCAGGTCCCAGGTCCCAGGTCCAGCAGGGGAAGGGCGTTTGTAGTGAAGATAGTCCTTGTAGAGCCATCAGGACTTGCAACAGCATATCCCGGTGGCAAATTCCTACCCCTCCCAAGTGTTACCTCACTCAAAGAGAAACACTAGTCCTCCTTGCTCTGAGTGAGGCCAATTTCTGAAACGCACCAAGTCAACCAACAGCCTTCCAGGCCGGTTCCCACTAATGGAGGCCGAAGAGCAGGCCAGACAACAAGGGAGAGTCACTGGGATCACTGCTCCGTGTTGATAATGCTGTCCCAGCGCCTGTGCGGTCTGTCGTCCGCAGCGCAATTTAAAATATTTGTAGAAGTTACAGAAAGGGGGGAAATGAGAACAGTCTACTTTTTTTAGTTTGTTCTAGTGATCACTCTCTACTGAATGGATAGAAAGTGAGATTTTTTCCCCTGTGAGTTATCTCTGAGCTTTCTCCTTATCCTGATGAGAGCCAGGCCTGTCTGTGTTCTGTGCAGTGATGGTACATCATCTGGGCCAGGCACACTCCCTCCACATCAGACACTGGGTTGCTTCCCGCCTCAGGCTCACTCACAAATCTGAGAGTGGTGTGTGTGTGTGTGTGTGTGTGTGTGTGTGTGTCTGTGTGTGTGTGTGTTTCCCTAAGAACAAGAGACTCTTCCATGCATTGTTGGTTTTGTAGACTAGAACTGCTGATATAAAAAAATAATAATAAAAGGCAAGCTTATTCTATTCAGTGCAAAGAACATTGCCCTCACGATGATGCATTTACCCTGGTTGTTGAAACATAATTTGATTTTTTGAGAGTAATTCTTTACCAGAGCTCAATTGTCAGTCGTGAGGGTCATAATATTAAAGCATGGCCACAGGGAGAGGGGACTGGTACATGGAGCCCACATTTTTCCTAAGCCTAGAGCATGAGCATGAGAGACAGGCATGAGATGTTAGGGGGACAGTTAACATATTCTTGATGTTTTGAGGGGCTTAAGGCAGTGCAACACTGAGATGCTTGTTTTCCTTCTGGCTCCTTAGTTCTGGGGATTCTGTTTTTCCCCTTTTTGACTTCTATATGTTTCCAGGCCTTTCCATTCTTTCCTGCCCTCAGAAGTGCACATCAGGACTACTGCAAAGAGCCCTGTAGATGATGGTCCGCCTGTCACCAGTGCCTTCTCATCTCCTCAGAGCAGAGCTCTGGGCCTGGCATTCCCAGCTCCAAAGAGCCCCCACGGCTTCCCATGGCTTCCAGCTCAGTCCACGCCCGTGGCCTGTGACACAGCCGCCTTTCCTGTCTCACGCTCTGCTTTTGGCCTGGGCCCTCTGTTACAGCAGAACCAACTGATTTGTCTCTAGAGGTGCCTGCATAATCCCACCCCTCTATGTCTTTATTCACAAAGTCCCTGCTCAACTGGACTCAACCACACAACCACCTCTCTGGGAGCTCTTTCCCCTCCATCTCCTTCCCGGAGCCGGAAGTTATATTTACTTCCTCTCGACCCCCGTAATTCATCTGTTTAGATATATTTATTTGAGATTATATCAGGAACCACATTGTATTCATCTTTTTTTCTGTGGGTAGACAAAGACATAGATATAATAATAAATATATCTGTTTCCAAAGTTCAACCTCACTTCTCACTGAACCAGTGAGTCTCAACGAGTTTTTACAAATCCACAGCAGGAGCTCAGGGGGAGGTCTCTGGCCTCCGAGGCCCAGGGCCGCTGCCTTCCCAGAGGAGCACAGCAGGGCAGGTATACAGACCCACAGAGATACTCCACCACCCAGTTCCCCTCGGGAATTCACCCCCTGGGAGCTCAGAACTTCAGAGCCACGGTTCTGCCATGACAGAGAACCAAAATGTATACGATGTGACAAAAGACATTTCAAGTCCTGAACAGACCAATTTGTTCCCCAGAATAAACTTCTTCGGAGGAAGAAAAAGGATGTCTGTTGCAGAGTTAAGTTAAATTCTCCTTCCCCAAATACTTCTTTTCCCCTGAATGTCACTAAACCCCATCAGAAGCAGCCTAAAGAGTTACCACTGACAGAGTGATACTGACATAATATTTAACTGTTGCTTCCAGGCTCAGTTCCCAAGTATTTCGTACATTTGATGACTCATTAAAAGTAAAAAATACGAAAAATGTAGCAAGATAGTCGGGTACAGTGAAGAAGAGTTCTGGAGTTCCAAGCCTGTCTCGAACCCCCCTGGGTGGCTTGGACTAATTCTTAACTTCTCTATGCCTCAGTTTCCTCTTCTGTAAAATTCGGATAATATTAGTACCCACCTCGTAAGACTGAATATGTGTGTGTGTGAAACATTCAGCACAGAACCTGCACAGAATAAGAACTAAGCAATTATAGCAATAATAATGATAATAATGATAGCTAAGACAATGAAACTACTGAGAACAGAGGCTTTGTTTATGGAGGGGTAGGTTAGTTGGTACTTGAATACTAAGATATTCAGACTAGCTTTATACTAGTCCTCCCTGCAGGTGCTAGACGTTAAGTAAAGACTATAACAGATGCCACTAACAAGGCCAAGCATGGCTGGAGAGAAGCCCACTGGTGCAAGGTCCTGTGTGTACACCCGTGTACTCTGTGTGAGTTTGAGCCTTAGATGCCTCTAAGGACTTTTAAAGATTCCGTGTTACTCTGTTTAGTGTTAGGCCCAACTGAGTGATCATGTGCCCTGGATTGCCCTAAATGTTCACGTGGTCCCAGCCTAAGTATATACATATAAAAGTTTCAGGGATAAACATTATCATTCCTCTGTATTCACTACAAAGTGATCACCCCCCAAAGCCTAATTACTATCTATCACCATACCATTGGTGTTCCCCCCGCCCCTGTGCACACACACACACACACACACTTTCTCACCCTCCAGTAACCACTGATCTGTTCTCTGTAGCTGTTGAGTTTGTTTTTGTTTTAGCAGCATAAGTATTAAACCCCTCTCATTCTCAAGCATTTCCTGATTTTGGAGAATAATGTGTATGGTCACCCTATTAAACAGAACCTTCCTCGTTTAGATAAAGAACATTCTCTGTTTCTATGAATTGCACAGGCTCATAAACAACACTGGTATATTTCTAAAGTTGCTTGTTCACAAGGAGCCTGGGGACCACAAACTTAGATTTCTAGACAGCTTCAAAGGAGAAGTTGTTTAAGCGCTGCCCATGATCAAGGGTTTGCATTAAAATTTTACAAGCACAAGTAAAAGTAAACTTTGAAGAATGAGAGTAAGCCCTGACAATAAGAGAAGAGCATTTTTTTTTCATTTATCTTTCATAACAGGAAGGCACAAGAAATCAATAACTTAAGTTGTAAGAAGGCTTCCAATGGATGGACTCAATGTCTTTGGGCCCCACTGAGGCCCAACACAGGCCTTGCTTATCAGAGAGATAAAGTTCACAATATTGTGAAATTAAAACAATAAACACCCTTTGAAGCTGGTAAAGAAATATGTCTTAAAAAAAGAAATATGTCTTAATAGTTACATTACAATGGATACCTTTTAGAGATTTCAGAAATATTATTCTAATCTCATCCCAAGACCTCTGGAGCACTGCAAAAGGAGTCAATTATGTTTTATGAAAACAAAAAAAATGGAGTTCTCCCAATCTATAATAATAAAAGCATAATATGCTAATTAGACCGACATCCTTCTGGGCTGATGCTCGGGCTGCCAGGGCCAAGCCCCTTGCACGATTTCGTGCATCGGGCCTCTGGTGCAGCAATAACTATGTATCTTTTTGCATTTGTATGGTATTGGCACTTTGTTTTTCTTTTCCATTTCTGAGAATTTGTTTAAATAAATGAGATGGAAACCCCATTCAACCAAAAAGTAAAAATTATGCACTTAGATGCTTAGTTTAAAATATTCTGGGTTCTAAAGTTTTACAAATAAGTATAGTGCATATGTATGAATGAAAAATAATTTAAAATAAGAAACATATCCTGGAATTATACCACACAGCATTACAAAACATCACGACGTACTGGCGGGGTAGAATCAAATAAATAAATACGCCAAAGAGTATCTTCTAGTATTCACTGTTACAAAATCCTGACATCTCATGATACAAACAACGAGATTGTATAACGTCCCCACCTCGCTTTTTAGACCTAGCAAAAGAAAAAAAAAAGAAAGAGGTGGAGAAACTCAGCAAAACAAAGTGGCGAGCAAAGTCGGGGAGGGGCGCTAGCAGAGAAGGGGCGGAGAAATTCGACACCGAGGCGGTGATATCACCCACAGCCAACTGCACGGAATTCAGAAAGTTAAGTGTCACCCAGCAATTTGGGTCCGGGCTCACGGCGCGCCCGCACAGCGTGGCGGCAGCGGCCCCGCTCGGAAGCAGGAAGGGGGAGGGGGCGGTGTG